CGCTGTGGAAAACAATACAGGGAAAGCAAATACAAAGACAAGGGGCACTATTTTATTTATTTATTTATTTATTTATTTATTTATTTTGGTACCAGGGATTGAACTCGGGTCCTTGCTCTTGCGCAGCAGACGGCGAAACCACTGAGCCAAATCCCCGGCCCCACATGGCCTTATTTTGTAGAAATATTATGAAGCTATAAAAACCTCCTTTACTTTGGCAATATTTACCAATGCTTGCATAGTTTTCCCTGTATCTTTGAAAGATACCAAGACAGAAATGGGCAATTTTAATCATATGACTCAACATCAATTATAAAACATAAAGGTTTAGAGTTTGGGAAAGGACTAATTATTCTCTTTGATGTAATGTTTTAAAATTAAAGTGCGCCAAGGGCTGGGGATTTAGCTCAGTGGTTCTGGCACCTGCCTCGCAAGTGCAAGGACCCCAGTTTGATCCCTGGTACCAAAAAAAAAAAAAAAAAAAAAAAAATTAAAGAAGGCCCCAGATGGTTTCCAGTTTTCTGGAAAATTCATGTACTGAATCATTATAGACTTTTCCCCTCTCATAGAAATACCCATGGACAGGTGGTATGAGGCTATTGCACCTATGAATGATAATTCACAAATATTTCAATTTAATCTACTTACATTAGAGGGGGAGTATAAAATGCAAAATCTGGTGGGGTTTGATCATCTAGGAAACATCAAACCATTTCAGCAGCAGCTAGTAACATTCATTAATGAAGGATTGAGAATTTAAAACTGGAAAAAGTTCCCAAGCAACACTAGAATTCAAAGCTCATGGTAGGTTTAAGTGGCCCTTCCTGCCACCACTGGGCTTGCTATTAAATAACAGGAGGTATTTATGCACCCTAAAAGGGCTCACAGTTTATATTTTTGTCATGCAGACCTTGATGATGACACCTTCTTACCCCTCTTAGTACACCTGACACTTGTTGGTAACACAAAAGACAAAGGACAAGAAAATATGCCCTTGATAGAAAAAGAAAAACCCTACAGCAGAGAACAAAGGCTATTTTCATTCAATTTCTGTTGAAATGATATTTTATATTTGGACCTAAAGGATGATAATAATACAAATGGATATTAATTTTAGTACTGTCCATCTTTAAATTCTGTTGTCCTACAGACAAAGCCAGCTGTGACCTGATGGTCTGCAGCTGTTGTTGGTCCTTAGCAAGTTCAAAGGAAACTTGCTGGTCTTCCAACTTCTCCTTCCTCAAGTCTGCCTAGGAGAAATTTCAGGAAAAAAATGTAGATGGCTACTTTAGGGCAGCGAGAGGGCATCTTTGGTTCTCAAAGAGCCACTGGGCTGAAGCATTAAAGATGCCTGGAGACAAACAAGTCTTTGCAGTTCAGCTTTGCAACTGCTGATGGGGGCTGAGGCTAGAGCTGGGGAGATGATACTGTGTACAGTATATGGGCTGCACGGATCAGCCTTTAGCCCCCAGGTGGTCCCCCCCAAAAGGGCTCCTCTTTACCAAACATCACAGACTTAAAATAGGGTAAGAGGGCATGAGCATGAGCTTAGCATGTTCAAGGTCTCGGGTTCCAATCCCAGCACCTAAAAATAAATAAATAAATAAATAAATAAATAAATAAATAAATAAATAAAAAGCAATTACATCTAGGACTGAACCAGGTGCCAATGGTAAAGACCAGGAGACCTAATTAAAAAGCAAGGGTTTAGCCAAGCAAGGTGGTGCACACTTCTAATGGTGGCTTGGGAGGCTGAGGCAGGAGGGTCACTGCGAGTTTGAGTCCAGCTTGGGCCACATAGTGAGTTCAAGGCCAGCCTGAACTACATAATGAAACCCTGTCTCAAGAAAAAGCAATGATTTAAGGGCTGTCTGCTCAGAGGTGTTAATAGAGTGACCAGCACTTAATGCAAGTAGACTATACCATTTATACATTTCGGTGACAGCTCCATCAAACTTGTATAGATTTCAGTTTAGGGCCAGGGATTTAGCTCAGTGGTGCCTCTACCTGTCTCGCAAGCACAAGGTCCTGAGTTCAATCCCTGGTACCAAAAAAAAAAAAAAAATCTTTAAACAGATTTCAGTTTGTGGAATATTATCCCTTCACTGATGATGAAAATGACAAGATATTTCTGATTCTGAAAATCAGAAAGGAGTGAATTATTTCCTAGTACGCTGGACTATTTTTCTTTCAGAACAAAGCCTTGGTTTTACAAGAATTCATTAAAAGTTATCTTTCTTGGGCAGGGGATTTAGCTCAGTGGTTTCGCCACCTGCTGTGCAAGCGCAAGGACCTGAGTTCAATCCCTGGTACAAAAAAAAAAAAAAGTTATCATTCTCATTTATGAATCTGATGCTATTTGAGAAGGTATAAATCACTTGTTTTACTTATAAATGTTCTATTGTCCTTTATTAATTGCATTTATTCTAAAATTTATTATTTTTTATTTGATTATAAACATGTTTTATAAATTGTGTTTTTCTTAGAGTTGTATTCTTTCTGTAACTGTGAACAAAGATAGTCTATGATCTCACTATGTAGTGGCTTTGAACTCACTATGTAGCCCAGGTTGGCCTTAAACTCATGGTGGTCCTCCTGCCTCATCCTTCCAAACCCTGAGATTACAGGTGTGCACCACCTTGCCTGCCTAAACCTTTACTTTTTAATTAGCCCTCCTGGTCTTTACCATTGGTACCTGGTTCAGCCATCAGCAAAGTTATTTTAAGAATATCCATGATATATTACTGTAGGAGAATTGATTAAATTTTGTTTTAGTTCTAGTCTAAAAAATTGTTA